TCCATGCATGCGTTCGCCAGGACAACCGATAGACTCAAGCTGCAGATAGAACTCGCCTTGGTACTGGAAGTACCGAAATTCCAGGCAAGCTTCTTTTAGTCGGCGAATGCTGGACACTGATAGCTCCGTTCTGGAAGGTGTTCAGGAAGCTGCTAGCTGACGACACACTGGCTGACAGAACTCATACATCCCAGCATCATCACACCATGCACATTCCATCAAGCGAGGGATCATCAAAAATATGTTTGATCGTGCCAGAAATACTTGCAGCTCCAGTTCGTCTCGCATCAAGGAAGAAATGACGCTGTTTGAGATCTTCTCCAAGAACGGCTACAGTAAAGACTTCATCCAGAGGTCATCGCGGAACGTCTCGAGGAGCGAGCTAGCCACTGCTCCTGCCCCCTCTAGCGGCGGTCCACTCTCTGCAGGGGCGGTCGCAGACTTGGAGTTTGGGGGGGGGCAACTTGGCAAAGGGGCCCCTGCGCTGACCCAGGGGGCCCGGTGCTAGCTTAAAGGGGCCCATGGGCGTAGTGCACGGGTGCAGAAATCCAGGCCATGGCCGGTGAAGCGGGGGGGGGGGGGGGTAGGGAGCGGCACCCGAGCGGAGGCTCATTGCGAGCTTTGAGGGTGTACCATGTCGAAAAAATACCGATAAGTGCATTTTGAAGTATTGATATTGTCAATAATTCACATAACTGTGAATGGATTACCGCAAAAGTAAAGGCGGCTTAGGCGGCTAACTTTGCCATTTTCGAAGATCATCGAGCTAAAACTTTTGACAGTGGGTCATCGGTATCTGTTCACCGTTCAATCACATGTGTTCCGTTTCATCTTTTTTTTTTATTTGGGCACAAATGTAAGTTTTGAAGATCATTACAGTAGCAAATGCTTCGAAAGATGGATAGTGGGCAAATATCCTAAATTTTCGTGCTGCATGGAAAGTAGTGTTGCTGAGAAAAGGGGGTTTTGTTACAGATTGTTGTGGATGCAGAATACATTGTCTGCACCCACTGCAGAATTATTGTTGGTGCGCCCACTGCACCCATGGTTCCTACACTTATGAGCCCATCGATAGCGCTTCGGCGATACCTATCGCCTAGAGGCTGCAATGGGGCTCTTAGAGTACGGTGTCAGACCCCCCAGAGGCCGGCGTTGGACCCAAGGGTCAGCGAAGGGCCTCAAAGGCCCAGGTAGTACCCTTGAGGCTGATGTGGGCCTTCAGAAGCAAGTGCATGACCCCCGAAGGTAAGGCATGAGCCCCCCAGAGAACATAATAGGGCCATCAGTGGCCGGTGTAGAGACCTCATAGGCCAGTTTGGGGCCCCTCAGAGGCTAGTGTGGGGCCTCAGGTGTCGGTATGAGGCACTTAAAGACCGTAATGGGTCCTCAGAAGCCGGCATCGAACCTTCAGAAGCCAGTACGGGGCCCTCAGAGGCACATAAGGGTCAGTTTGGGTCCCAGAGACAGAAATGGGACCATCAGAGGCTGATGTGGGACCTTTCAAGGCTGGTTTGGGCCCTTAGGGACCAGTTTAGGGCCCTCAGAGACCATTACAGGGCCTGCAAAGAGCAGTTTGAGACCATCAGAGACCTAATTGGGCACTCAGAGGCTAGTGTGGGTCCTTACAGGCCAGCATGGAGCCCTCAGAGGTTAGCGTGGGGGCCCTATAAGGCCGACATGAGCCGGCGTTGGACCCCAGAGGCCAGTAGAGGGCCCTCAAAGGCCAAGATGGGCTCTCAGAGGCCGATGCGGGCCCTTGGAGGCCGGCATCGGGTCTTCAGAAGCTCGTGCGAGGCCCTCAAAGGCTAAGGTGGGTCCTTACAGGCCAGCACGGGCCCTCAGAGGTCAGTATGGGGCCCTAAAAGACCGGCATGGGCCGGCGTTGGACCCCAGAGGCCAACAGAAGGCCCTCAAAGGCCAAGATGGGCCCTCAGAAGCCGATGCTGACCCTTAGAGGCCGGCATCGGGTCTTCAGAATTCAGTGCGGGGGAGGGCCCTCAGAGGCTAATGTGGGCCCTCAAAGGTCAGAATGGGACCCTAAAAGACTGGCATTGGCCGGCGTCGGACCCCAGAGGCCAGTAGAAGGCCCTCAAAGGTCAAGATGGGCCCTCAGAGGCCGATGCGGGCCCCTAGAGGCCGGCATCGGGTCTTCAGAATTCAGTGCGGGGCCCATTGAAGCTAATGTGTGTCCTTACAGGCCAGCATGGGGCCCTCAGAGGTCAGTGTGGGGCCCTAAAAGACCGGCATGGGCCGGCGTTGGACCCCAGAGGCCGGCGGAGGGCCCTCAAAGGCCAAGATGGGCCCTCAGACGCCGATGCGGGCCCTGAGCGACCGGCATTGGGTCTTCAGAATCCAGTGCGGGGTGCCCTCTGAGGCTAATGTGTGTCCTTACAGGCCAGCATGGGGCCCTTAGAGGTCAGTTTGGGGCACTAAAAGGCCGGCATGGGCCGGCGTTGGAACCCAGAAACCAGCGGAGGGCCCTCAAAGGCCAAGATGGGCCCCCAGAGGCCGATGCGGGCTCTTAGAGGCCGACATCAGGTCTTCAGAATCCAGCGCTTAAGGCTGGTCTTGGGACTCGAGAGACAGAAATGAGGCCAACAGAGGCCGGTGTGAGGCTCTCAGACGCCGGTTGGGCCCCTAAGGCCGGTTTAGGGGCCCTCAAAGGCCAGTGGAGGGCCCTCAGAGGTCAATGTGGGTCCTCAGCGGTCAATGTGGACGCATGACCGCCACTGAAGGGCCCTCAGAGGTCAGTGTAGGACCCTCAAAGACTGGTATGGGAGCTGTTAATAGCTGGCGTGGGTTTCTCGAGCCTCGTGACAATCGAATACGGGCCAGGGCCCCATACGGCCATGGGGGCCCATCGGTTGTTTGGGGGGGGGGGGGCAAATGATATGATGGCCCCCCCCTGATTTGCCTTTGGGGGGGGGCCATGGCCCTGATGGCCCCCCCCCCCCCCTGCGACCGCCACTGACTCTCTGCACATGCACCCTCCGGCGGCGGCGGTCCACCCTCGGCACATGCACCCTCTGGCGGCGGTTCACCCACTGCTCCTGCACCCGCTGGCGGCGGTCCACCTTCGGCAACTGCATCCTCCGGCGGCGGCGGTCAACCCTCGGCAACTGCATCCTCTGGCGGCGGAGATCCACTCCCGACACCTGCACCCTCTGGCGGCGGAGATCCACCCTCAGCATCTGTACCCTCCGGCAGCGGCGGTCCATCCTCGGCACCTGGTCCCTCCGGCGGCGGAGATCCACTCTCGACACCTGCATCTTCCGGCGATGATCCAGTTTCGGCACCACCTGCATCCTCTGGCGGCGATCGACCCTCGGCACCTGCCTCCTCCGGTGGCGACCCGATCGCTAGTGTGACCTCCGGCGGCGGCCCTGTCGCTGCTCCTGTGACCTCCGGCGGCGGCCCAGTCTCTACTCCTGTGACCTCCGGTGGCGACCCGGTCACTGCACGAGCGTCCTCCGGTGTCGACCCGGTCACGGCACAAGCGTCCTCCGACGGTGGTCCAGCCACTGCACGAACGTCCTCTAACGGCGATGCTGTTGGTTCTACGTCTTCCTCCGGTGGCAGTCCAGTGATCGTCCAGCCGTTCTCCGACGGGCCACGTCAGCCGCGCCCTAGCCGTCCACGGTATGTCTCCATTAGAGGTGGCAAAAGATGAAAATTTTGGGAACCAGACTCGAACCAGACCCGGCTGGACATTTCTGGAACCAGTTGGACCCGGTCTTAAGTGGAACCGGAACCAGTTGGACCCGTTCCCCGAAAGTCAATTAATACAAACCACTTGTAGGTATCATTAGTTGCATCATGTAAAACAGCCTATTTCCCACTGGGAATAGGTACTCATGAGCTAGGCACTGTGTGCAAAGAAACATTCACTTCATTCACTTCACATTTTGCAATAATGTGTAGTGTGCAAGATGTATAGTTTATGGTAGGACCCGGTTGGACCCGTTAGAAAATTTCCAGGAACCGGTTTGGACCCATATGGGTCCAGACTGGTTCTTTGGACCGGGTCCTCGGGTCCACATTTTGCCACCTCTAGGACTCTCCATCCCATATGTGAAAGGGGTCAGTGAGCCCATATCACAATTTTTGCGTGCCCACAACGGCACAACATTGTCGTAGGACACTCGTCAAGAAACCTAAGGAACACTCTGGTTCACCTAAAGGATACAACCCCAAAGGAGATGAGAAAAGGCGTCGTTTACGAGGTGGAATGTGAATGTGGAGATGTGTACATAGGAAAGACAGGAAGGCCTAAGTCAGTGAGAATGAATGAACACGCCCAAGACATCCAACACGGACGCAGATTGAAATCGGCACTGGCACGACACGCAAGTGAGTGTTCTGGTCAGATGCGCCCTTTGGAGGCAAGAACAGTAGCCTATGTCAGTGATTGGAGGAAGAGGACAGTGCGCGAGGCCATCAAAATAAAAGAGAAGGATCCAGATATGAACAGAGATGTTGGAAAATTCGCACTGAGCCCAATTTGGGATTTGCCTCTAAAAAACGCAAGATGATATTCGTTCCTCTCATCACTGTAGTATGAGTGGACTGAATTGAAAACTAATGACGCCGAATGTGTTCTGTTCTGTTTATAACTTCTTGTCTGTGTGTTTGTACCTATGTATTTTATGGTTAAATTTACAGCATACTTTGATAGAAAATAGTGAGTGTATCTAGATATTCTTAACTTGGAATCTCCTACATGGTTGATAGCGCGCGGGGATTTGATTTTTTTTTGTCTGTGAATTTAATTTAGAATTTTGGGTATCGCTGCAATGTGAGCTATACTTATAGGGTTATTGTAGTTGTCCACTGACCAAGGCCAAACAATATTGGCCGAAATATTTGGACTTGCATACGCAATACAATCCCAGTGAATTCCGATAAAGTTTTATATCTACAAACATAAACCTGGGAAAAATATGACTCTAAAACATCCTCGTAGTTTCCCCAACTGAGCTGACTCACCTCACCTGGCTCACCTGGGTTGTGGTTGGGTTCCAACAATGTCAAGTAAGAGAGAGATAGAAAAGTCAGAAGAGAAAAACTACACAACAGAATTTGCTAAAACTTGCAAGAAAGCCGCAGCTTTTAATTTCATTAGTGAATAATTTATGCAAGGCCCTATTGGTCAAGATTTTCTTCCACAGTACAAGGGCCAGTGTGTATCAAGTGTGTGTATAGGCAGCGGAGGCAGCGTTCGATGTCTCCCGGACGGCAAAGATTCTTTGCCGTCCAGCCAATCCCGTCCAAGGTCAGCGGGGGCTCGGCTGCGGTTATGAAACGTGATTGGCCGGACGGCGTAGAATCTTCGCCGTCCGAGAGACATCGAACGCGGGGATAAATACACTGGTAAGAATGATTCTTACTATCATGTGCATCATGTGTACTTAAATGACGTCATAAATAGGGTCCGTATCTATTAAAAAATAAAAGTAATGAAACAAGACTGCATCATGCGCTGCGTGCAGTCATGTAGCTGTAAGAATCTTTAAATCAATCAAGCACAAGCCATAATCAGCATGGCATACCTTGTCAAAAATATTATTTCTCCAATAAAAGATCAAATATACTTTAATGACGTCATTTTATAGACGTTGGCTTAGGTGGTTTACATAGCCTTGGGTTGAGCCACGAATGTGCGTGCAATGCCTTCCATTGCAATTGCAGTTCTAAAAACGACGCAATCATTGTGATTTCGTTTTGCCTTGGACTTGCATTGGACAGGCATATGGTATCCTATATACGGCCTTGACTGGTATACCAATACTGCCTTGATTGGGCAGATATCTTTGTTTTCATATACCCACCCTGCATTGGGCTATATCCCAGAATTTTGCCTTGGGCACCGGCCGCCGCTTAAATTCTTACTGGTGCCGCAAGATAATCTTGCGCAATCTTGCGCAAGTATACGTGCCCAAGGCCATATATTACGTGTTTCAGTTCTCTATATACCGTGGCTTCAGCTCAAGCTTGTGAGGTTGCCTGTGAGAGGTGGACGGCAGTGGTCTGTTGTCGGTGAGTCTGTTTGGTGGTTGCCAGGCTGGTTATTGAATGTTTATTAAATGAAATATTTGTTTTGAAATGAAATGTTTTATTGAATGTTTATTGAATGTTTAAGGTTTATTGAATATTTTCAGCATCAGTGCCATGTCAGGTGGTTATATGAGATCGAAGACGGGTAGACAGGTGCGTACCGTCGTGATTTCATTAGGATCAGGATGGCAGAGCTATGGCCAAAAGCTGATGCAAAAAGGTGTATTATCTACATAGTATTGTCCATGTGCTGAGCTCAGCCACTGGCGGATCCAGACCTGCGTTTGGGGGGGGGGGGGGGGTTGGGATGCAGCTCATGCAAGGAGCCAAACCTAGGGAATAGGGTACCCCAAATCCTGTTTTCTCATCAGCTTTAGGCCACTTATTTTTCATCACAGCCTGTCGCAATCTTTTTTTTACTAAAAAAAAATGAAATGGCTGCACACCCGGCCCATAGGTACTTTTATCTAACTTGGTTAACCCGCGCCATGCTGGAGGGGTGTGTATGTGTGTGTGTGTGTTTACGCACCCCCTCAGGTTTTTCGTGAATATCTAAAAAACTGCTGTATGCAGGTCGCAGCACCGCTGTTTTGGGTAGGTACACCTGCCCCTACAACTTTTCCGCGCATCTTGTGAAAATTATAGACCCAGGTCATTCAAGGCTAGATCACCAGAGGGGTGTTCACGGGCACCGCACACTGCTGCGTGCAGTGTGTGCGGTGCGTCCAGCAGGTGTGGGGGTAGGGGATGGGTAGGCGGCTGTGACGTCACGGCTGCTGCGGTGGACGGTCTGCTGTGGCCAGTCTCGACCGGCCACAGCGGTCGCTGTGTGCGGTGACGCAAGGCTGACGTAGGGACGCAGTGGGCGGAGCTTGGAAGCTGTGTGCGGTCCGACCGCACACAGGGTCCGTGAACAGCCCTCAGGTCACATCAAGTGACCAGAAAAGTTCAAAGGCTCACTCTAGCTGCATCAGCTGAGTGATCACTTTGAAACATTCAGTGATTGATTAGGGTAACAGTATGTACAAAATTTATATTTCAGATTTTATATATCTACTAGGTGCCCAGCATTACGCGCAGCGTAATAAATCAAGTTTCATTAAAATCGGTCGAGTAGTGGCCGAATTATTGCAAGAATAAATTTGGCGTCTCCTGGCCGGTGGTGCCCTGCGCCGGTGTTCATTGCCAAAGGTCAGTGACCTGCCGGCTCTGATTTCGCTTAGTTTTGCAAGCGAAGAAACTGAGCCTAAGGCACGTGCTCTCTGCTCGGCGCCGGCCGCGGCCCAAAATGCGGCAAAGATGTGCCCGCCACGTGCAAACCACCGAGCCCACCCCCTCGAAAATTTAGTAGGTACGAGTTACGACAAATGGTTGCACACGCCCGACTCGGCACGAAAATGTCATCCCCGCAACCCGCACCATCGCCAAGCAATAGCCCACCAAAGGGAACTGACACGTTACATGCATACATGCATACAGACGTTTTGATTTTTATATAGTTTTGAATTATGACGAATTTTTGAATTTTTGAATTATTCCACGTCAAATCGATCACGAATCGGAATGTACCCGATCCCCTTCGATTTGGATGAAATTTGTTAGGCTCTTAGCACCTGTGAAAACAAATACATCCTACAAGTTTTAGACCTGGGTGACCTCTAGGGTCAAAGTTATAGGTCATGAAAGGTCAACGAGTTTTGCCGACATTGCAGGTTTGAAATGGCCATTGCTCTGTAATTAAGAGTGCGGGGAAGCTGCGATAAGCCCCATTAGAGAGGCAATTGATCCAGGTTTTATAAATAATTTTGTATTTGTCGATGACCTTTCAACGACCTTTGACCCGACTACGTCAAACTGAGTATTTTTTAATTTGACCATGTTCTGTAGGGTAAGGTGCCTAATTAGCGACCCTTTCCTATTTGTGACCTACCTTACTACAGAAAAGCTGGCAGGAGAAATCGGGGTAACAAGAATGTCAAAAGGTCTGCCATACTTCGGTATCAAACTAAATTCTTTTTCAGGATGTCAGTGCTTCTGGCGGGACGTGTTAGGGGAGTTTAAATAAAAATGGTCAGTTTCTTATCCCAAACGTGCGTACCTATTTGGGCTCTATCTGATGAAAAGCGATGCACATTAAGATGATGCACCATTTTTATTCTGAATCAACAATCCTTTTTCAATTGATTGCTGTTTTCCCGTAGTGAATTGCTGGACTGTGCACTGCATGGTGGTTAAAAATGTGTCGCAACCCATATTTCCTAGTTGCGCCCGACATGGTCGCTAATAGCACAAGAAGGGAAAGAAAGGGGAAAAGAGAGAAATGAAAATGAAGAGTTGCTGAAGCCAATGTGTGCCGGCTGATGCCAACTGTCGTCACCGACTGCAGGGGTGCCAAATCAGTAGCGGCGGAACACCTTCAATTAAGGGGGGGGGAGGGGCACTGCCGAATTTTGGTCCCATTCTTTCCATGCAACGCCCATAGGGCTAATGTTAAAATGCCAAAATCAAAGGGGGGCACGGTGCCCCGGTGCCCTCCCCGTTCCGCCGCCTATGTGCCAAATCCAGGGTGTGCCTCGAATATCATACGAGATAGCCCGCAAAACTTGGGTTTTCGCCTTCTTTTGGCCTTTGGTGCGGCACGTGATCAATTTTCACTTTCATAAAGGTGTTCGATAAACGCTCCTGTTCCAGTGATTGAGTGCTTTTTATATAGGTATTTTGCGTATAGGTTACCTTTTTGGGATCATATTTCAACTTTTCAGGCGTCGCATTTTTTGTCATTTTTATTATGGGAAAACCCATAGACTTATTAGCGACCCTCCCTCGGGTCGCTAATTGGGACGATTTCCCTATTAGCGTTTTTTTGCAATGGTTTGCAAAAATGCTCACTACAAATAAATTAGTGGATTTTGGGGCAGAAAATGAATATATTTTAATAGAGAAATGAACGATCTCTCCGAAAATCAAGCCAGTAATACAGTGGCACCCACAGAGCGTGAACAATGACGGCTGAAATTAAGGGGGTCGCTAATTAGGCACCTTTCCCTACCTCGGATGCTGACGAAAATTTAGCAGAGGATGTATCATAGTATCGACAATAAGTGGCGTGAAAAATATTTTTGGAGAAATTGTTACGAGCGAGCGAGCGCAGCGAGCGAAGCGAAGTCTTTTCAATATAACGGAAAAATCTCAGTATGAGCCGAATTTTGTATGAGCCGTTAAAAATCTCAGTATGAGCCGTTACAGGCCCGGCCCGGCCTGTAACGCTTTTAAGAGGCTTATATCTCAGCAATTGCTGAACCGATTGGCCTGCAGTCTTTTTTGCTGGGTAGCCCCATCCCTTCTACCCCGTAATTGACTACTGTTGATACATCTCAGTGACCTTCGTGGCACGTGCCACGTGAAAAGTCAAGGGTGTTCAAGCTGTTTTGCAAAAGCAGTGATTTTGAGAGGCTCATATCTCAGCAGCCGCTTGGGCGATTGTCTTGCGGTAATTTTTGTAGGGAAGCTGCATCCCTTCTACCAAAGGTCGGATGCTCTTGATCTATGTGAGTGACCCCCACTGCACGTGCAAAATACAAAAAGAAGAGGTGCCAAATTTGTTCCCATTTCAATAACTCGGTAATTACTGGGGCGATTTCGCTGAAACTTGGCATACAGGTAGGCACCCACCAGGTAACGCATGCCCATGTGTTGCGGTTAGGGTGCTTCTGCACGTGCAGGGGGCGCTTCCAGATCTCGAGAACGGCTGGGCCGATTGCGCTCAAATTTGGTACACGGTTGGGGACCGGTTAGTAGGGTGCCGTGCAAAAGTCAATTTGGACCCCGTTTGCACGTGCCCACGTGCAGAATGCCGCTTCCAGATCTCAGGAACGACTGGACCGATTGTGTTCAAATTTAGCACACCGCTAGCGACCAGCTAGCAGGGTGCCGTGCAAAAGTCCATTTGGACCCGTTTGCACGTGCGCACGTGCAGAATGCCGCTTCCAGATCTCAGGAACGGCTGGGCCGATTGCGTTCAAATTTGGCACACCGCTAGCGACCGCTTAGAAGGGTGCTTTGCACAAGCCCCGTTGGAAGTAGGTACCCCCTCGCCCTTCCGCACGTGCAGGGCTCACTATCTCGCTCCCTCGTTATTCGCCCAAAAGGCGTTTTACTGGTAAAGCAACAAGAAGTGCAACGTAGGTAGGGGAGGTTGGGGTAATTTGGCCGCTTTTTTAGAAAACGATATAACTTAAAATTGACGACACATTTCTGCATTTTCTCAACGCTGGCAGGTGTCGCATTCATTTTACTTTACTGGACAGTTAACTTGAAATGATAGAGCAATTACTTATATTGAAATTGTGACGTATTGCAAAGGTCTGCAAGGCGGCCAAATTGCCCCACTAGCAGAGTTATTTGGCCGGGGGTGTGGGGCATTGGGCCGGTGTTAGTTTGCGGTCGGGATTTTCTGTTATATTGCGAGTCAGCTTCAGATTCAGCAATGCCGTGTGTGTGTGTCCTATGACGCATTTGCCGCATTTTGGAGTTTGGCTCAGGGGTCACAGGGGTCAAAATAGCCAAATTAGCGGCTCTAGATGCGAAGACAGGTTTTTACGAATAACTTTTGAAGTAATCAAGCTAGGCCAAAACTTCGAGTACCATCGTAATTATCTCGTCAGTCCGCATCGAAAGATATTTGTGTTGACCTTGAGAAGTCAAGGTCAAAGGTTGACCTCAGGTCACGTTACATCAGGTCGCTTGACCTCAAGGTCACGTGATTCCAAGGTCATCATGCATATCATTCGATGGGCCTTGGCGAGCTGAACAGAATGAGACCATTTGTGCGGCTGTACCATTTTTATGTAAGGATTTATTAGCAAAAAACGTTTAGTAACCTTTGATGACGTCACATGCTCTTACAGTTGACCAATCGGAAGTAAGGCATCAAAGTAGTCAAAGTTGGTCATGAGTCATGTCGTTTATGGTACAATTGACCA